TAATAATAATTAATAATAATTGAGCCAATGCGGCGTATGCGCAATATTGATTTTCACTAATTGGATTTCGGAGCGCGAAAAGCGACAGCAACGAATCAAAGCGTAAAGAAAACAAAATATGAAAAAAAAAATAAATGGAAAAATGAAAAAATTGTGGAAAATGTAAAGTGGAAAATTCGAAATGCTTAAGTACTTAAGGCATGAAAATCAATTGATGGCAATGAGAACTCATGTCGAATGTCAAGTACTTAAGGCAACAAACTGTGAATGGAAACTAATTAAAAAGGTAAACTTATTATTGATAAATAATTAAATATCGATTTATCGAGTGCTACGGGCATGTACGCATAGATATAGTTATGTATGTATGTATGTGCGTACATATAGCCACGTGCAAGAGGTAAATTATTCAAATTGTTTGCCCAACAAACTTGGACTTTTGATTGGACAAATAAGTTTGAATGGGCGAGGCTTGAGAAAACATAGTTATCGATCAGATCAACAAGTACCGATCGATAACTATAATATAATATGATTTAATACATATCTGTATATATTCATTTAAATCTAACTACAAACAGCAATATCATAATGACAAGGATATCGATAACATATTATACGACTAAATAAATATATAAATAGCTATCGATAATGTAAATAGTAAAGTTTATTATATATTAAAATAGTTAACTACTTTTAACGCAACTTTGTAAAAAAAAATTACGCAAAAAACTATCGATAGACAGATTTATTGTGATTGTTATCGAAAGTTTTTAGCATAATCAGCAATAGTAACTACAAGAGTAATTATAGAAAAACAGCGAGGGAAAGTACATTCGATAACTCGGGAATATATTAGAATTTACTAAACTATCGATACTTTTTGTCGATATGTGTACTATTGAATCAAAGTAGAAGTTACAAAATATATTAAAAAGATACCTTCAGTTTCAACACGTTCGATTTTATTCACGGTAGGGACTAAAATATCGATAGCTATCGATAGCTGTGAAAGGTGTTCAATGGACTTGTAATATTTAACTTAAATCAATCAAAGCCAATACTTTAAACTGCGAGAGCAGTCTTAATTCTAAGCTATTTAAATTTATCGATAGTTATCGATAGTTGGTATCAATCCTGAATATCAGACTAATTGTCTTCAAACTAAAATTTATTACTTCAAATTAAACTGAAAGCTAGATTCGCTCTAGCTTGTCAGTCAAAGCCTAACTATCGATAACTATTGATAGGGATGCATCGGGACAGTAACTCTGAATGAATAGAATGGTAACTGAATGTAAGGATAAATGAACTTTAACAAGATATCACTTTAGTGTTGATGCTTTCCTACATCGTACATCGCTCAGCACTAGCGATATATTCCATCCATCTCTAATCTTCACTGGCAACTATAGAGATTAACAGATTGAGATTTTGGGGTGTGTAACACATAACATCAAGTGCGCTATGTAGTACAGTGTACACCAAATACATAAAGACATATATATATATA